CTTAAAAAGACTATGTACTCATTTACCACGGCTTTATCTACCAAAGCCTAGTGATTTACTTATTCTAAACACTGATGCAAGTCAGGATACTTGGGGAGTAATCCTTCAAGCAATCCCAAATGCATATGAAGAGTTTAATAAGTTTATCATGAACAACAAACCATCTGAAGTTAAATACTTCATACGACGGATGACTAAAGATAGTTTGGATGCAAAAAGTGAATCTTACGATTCTAAATTAGAGAAATCTAATGACAAAGGTGAAAATCCTTTAAGCCAGTCTATGCAAAAAGAATTGGAAAAACCCAATAGCAAACGATTACTGTTATCTAAATGGGTATCAGGAACGTTTAAGCCAGCTGAACGCAATTATACTACACACGAGAAAGAGACCTTAGCCTTTATAAATGCACTTGAAAAATTCAAACTCGACGTACAACCAGTGAAATTCATCTTTCAAACCGATAGCCTATACACTAAAGATTTTACAAAATACCGATTGAAAGAATCCTATAATAAAGGTAGAATTCTTAGATGGAGCCTAAAAGCACAACAATTTGATTATATTTCTGTGTATATCCCAGGAAAAGAAAATTATTTAGCAGATACTCTTACACGAGAATTGAGTCAGTCGCAGCAATTTTAATGGAAAAAAGAAACCAGCTTGAAGAAGAAATAAGACAGTTGAGAGAAACAGTGAGGCAGTGTCAAATAGAGGCAAGTAAAAAAGAAAAAGAAGTTCAGGCTATTGATCTAGTTTTGAATCCAGGAAAAGAAAAAGAAAGTAGAAAAGAAAATGAAAAAGAGAAAGAAAGTAATGAAAAAGAAAGCAAAAAGGAATATGATGAAGAAGAACGAGCCAAAGCGCATTATGTTATATTCACTGGACCAAATCAAGGAATATACGATGCATGGAGTAAGGCAGCGATTTTCATCACGGGACACAATGTAATCCACAAAAAATTCTTAAGCCTTCAGGAAGCCAAAGATGCACTCAGGGATTCTCAATCCACATACGCAGGAAAAGTACAGACGCCATCTTCATCAAGTTCATCGTCGGAGAAGAGAGTACTAAGTTACCAGTACTTGGAAAAATTCCAAATCCAAGACAACTCACCATCAACCAAATTCAGACTAGACAGCAAAAAGAAGAGAGTACTAAGTTAACAAGAAAATTATTCGAAGCAGAATATAATTTTCTCCTAAATTACTCCGACAAAGACAAAGCAACAAGCATTTATCCTGTTGAAAGTTATTTCACAGGACCTAAGGCAGTTAGTTTACCAAAAGCCGATCCAATAAAGACATATATGATGTTTCAATCCGGGATACTTAGTTGTATATACTTCAGAAGTACTGACATCTTTCAGTATTTCCCGACTAAGTTTACACAAGCTATTCACTCATATTCCAGCAAGCTTCTCAACAAAAAAGAAGGATTCATGAAAATATTCGCAACAATTCCCATTTTTTCTGAGGAGGGGGAAGTTATACAGCCAGCCATACAATTATGCCAAATTGGAGTTAGTAATGGAACCTATCCAGACCTAGGAATAGCAAAGCACGAAGACGAGTTAACACATTATTTAAATAATTATGTGATTATACTCGGAAAAAGCATTAGAGTAATGGGAAGAATTAATTATTCATCCCAGTCCGTTTTATTATGGAGTAAGCAAGCAAGGCCACCAATGCCTTTAGATGTTGAGATACTAAACAAATTTATGGAACGAGTCATTCAAATCAAGTACGAAATGCCTAAGTCCATTAAACAAGAAATCTGCATCAGGTTGAAGGAAGAATTTGCATAAGATCATGTATGCGAAATATGCAGCCCAAATCATGAAGAAGAAATCAAGCCTATTGAAGAATAATGTAGTAGGCAAAGGTAATTGTCAAGCAAGTTGGCAATAATGTAATAGGTATATAGACAATAATGCAGTAGGTGGATGCAATTGTCAAAAAGTAGATAGGCAATAATGTAGCAAGTGGAGTAGGTAAGTGTAATTGTCAAACAAATTGACAAAAAAGTAGTAAGGTGGATGTAATAGTCAAGCATCTTATCTTATCTTTAATGAAAAAGTAGATGTGACTTGTCGCTTCACGACAATCACTTAATCAAAACGCGTAAGACAGGGACATGTCCTCATCTACGCCTATTTAAGGGTCGAGACTTTGTCATTCTGAGGTAGAGCTCAAGTCTGTATGAAAAACTCGAGTCTTGTAATTATTTCTATGAAATAAAAGATGTGTGTTTCATACTACATGAGTAACTAAATACACTTAGAAATAATAAGCAAGGAAAAGAAAAACGTTCCAACACCGGTTAAAAGGTTCTGGAGGGACAAATACACAGCCAAGATAGTCGAGGTCGTTGCTAAAGATTGAGTATAGGCCAAGAAGACGAAAGGGCGTCCTTGAACAAATTAACCAATAAAGGAAGGTATGTTCTTATCGAAAGCTTATTATTTCTCTCTTAAAAATTATATTTGAAAATTCAAATAATTATGGATATTAATGATTTTTTGAATATGTCATATAAAGAAATACAAAAAGATATAAATTGTCTCAAAGCATTAATAGAACAAATTGTTTCATTAACAAAAATGTTAAAAGAAAATGAACAAATGTTATTCAACCTAGTAAAAATTTATGCACCTAAAGAACATTCAGTAGAAGATCATTTTCGAATATGCGATAATATTACTTCTTCAAATAATAGGATTAAAGAGTTAATAAAGAAAGCTGAGTACCAAGCATTTAGTATAAGTGGTCAAATAAAACTTAGAATTCTAAATATAAGATAATAGAAGATAAATAATGGATAAAGAATATCATGTTATAGAAAATATAAAAGAACAAGGAATCTATTTATCAGATATATTATTAGATAAGAAGGTAGTAACGAAAGTAAAAAATAAAGAAAATTTAGATCTAGAAAAGAAAGAAGGAATAAATAATAGTATATTAGAAAAATTAAATAGAAAAAATATAATACATTATGGAATAATGAATGGAGAACAACCGATTAAAATAGAACAAGCAAATTATAATTTTCAAGCACCCTTAGTTGAAATAAATCAAATAGAAAAAAAAATTAGAAAAAAATAAAAGAAGACGATAGGAAAAAGATATGTTATATACACATAAACACAGTACAAATAGTATTACGATCAACATTTAGAGAAAGAATAAAAACACCCGTAAATATAAAAGTTGAAGATAATAGGATCATGCATAAAGAATCAAGAAAATTAGGAGAAATAGAAGGAGATTTAGGGTATGGAGTAATTAAATTTAACATATCATTACAATTCCCTATACCCTTGACGACCAAGAAAATTAATAACTGCATAGGAATAATATGTAATTTTCAAGAAAAAAACATTAATGGAATCAAGAGATATACCTATGGTTGTCTGTTATAGAATAGCGTATGCATTAAGCAATAGTAGTCTAAGCATGAATTATCAAAATCAAGAAAGAATATATACAGAAAAAATATTCAATGAAACTAGTACTATTATTAAAAATGATAAAATCCAAAAAGAATTCTTAAGAGAACATGGTAGACGATCATTTAGTAATCCTTCAAATCTAGGAAAGCTAACTGGAAATAATTTACTAAAAATTCTAGAAATTGAAGAACCTCATAGTAGCAATAGTTTATATAAAGGAAATATAGAAATAGAAAAATTAAATAAACAAGTTAATGAGTTAAGCTCATTAGTTATAAATTTAAATAATAAAATATAAAATTTGTAATAATGGATAGGAAAGATATAAATCTTGAATTAGTTGAGCTAAATAGAAGGGAAATCAAAGAGGTAGATTATTTAATAGAGAAATCAATACAATATAAATACATAGAAAAAGATGAACAAAGATTAAAACAGCTAGATTATGACATACAAAGGTATAAGCAAAAATTTAAAAAAATAAATAAAATATGACCACCTAAAACAATAATATAAATGTCTTCAAAAAAAGGAATATATAAAATCAGACCAGAAAAAATATCTAAAAGAAAAACAAGTTTTTCAGAAACACAAAGATTAAAAGAATTTCTTTCTAACTGTAGAACTCAATTAGATTGTGAATTTAAATGTTCTGAAAAGAAAAGTATTATTAGAAATAATTTTACTCGATTAATAGACTTTTTAAATAAAGATATTCAAAAACATATGGAAGAAAATAAAGAAGAACCTGATACTAATCAGCTTATTCTTGAAAAACTAGAAAGAATAGAAAATAAAATGAAAACATTAGAAGAAAAAGATACTACTATATCTTTAGGGGATTGGATTAATCTATAGATAATAATTTACAAATGGTATTTTTTATAAAAAGTTTAAAAAATATTTATATACAAAGATTACAAATTAGAAATAGAAAATGGAATTAAAAAGTGGGTATCAGAGCCTGGTAACAGGTAAAATACTTAACTAAAAAATGCCACAAAAAGATTGGCTAAATGTATTTTTACCAAGACGTAAAACTCTTGAAAAGATAATTGCAAATACATCACCGCATTCTGAAATACATGAAAAACATATAGCATATTGGAAACAAGAAATTTATCTTGCCACACCATTATGTATACAATTATGTAAAACTCTATGTACTTATAGCATTGTCCAAAATTCATCCCCAACAAAAACTAACTATTATGAGACACCTTAATTGTATGTGATGTGTGATTGCATACACCGGGGTATATATGGACAAGCTCAATGCCACCTTCGTTTTCTCACCCATTAACTCAAAAAAGGTGAAATTAGATGTGTGTGTATAAGTACATACATGAACCATAGTTCAAGAATTCATTCACCCCATACACTAATTAATTAAGTTAATTATTTGCAAACGGGGAGAAATATATATATACATAATAATTAATGTGTCATGCTTTAAAAAAAAAGTTGAGTATTATCAATTGAGTGTTTTTGTGATGGTTTGGTTATTGTGACCGTGAATAATGTTAGATCAGGTACAATTCGATGTTAACTTTCATCGACCAAGGAAGAGAAGTTCAGCTCTCTGCCATGGCCAGAAATTCTGGTTCAAATATGTTTTTATAATTTTTTTGAATATTATTTAATGACTAAATAGTGATAAGTTATGAAATATAGTAAATATGTGTGTTGTGTTGGTGCATATCGACCATGTTAGCTAAGCAGATTAAACTTGCGGATTAAGCATTGTATACAGTATATAATTAGTCATAGTCATAGAATATCTGATGAGCTGTATTAATTAAATTAATTTTCATGCAATTGTGATAGGGGCTGGATTTGGATCAAATCTGATATACGGGTCCGGGTTCTTTCATATGAGGATCAAGCTGCCCAACAAGAAAACTGCTGGAGTTGTTACAGCTTTTTATGTATATATAATTACATTTAATTGATCAATTCTCTTTTTTTCTGGCACTTCCAAAAATTAATTTAACAATCTTTAGTTAAATATTATTTGGCTTAGAGAAATGGATCACGTGAAAAAATAGACGAACTACAGAGACGGGTCACGGGGCCCTTTGACATTTTTTTTAAGAAAAATGTCGTTTATATGTATAGTAAATATAAAAGTAAAATAAAATTGTAAAATTCTTGAAAGTGGTAAGAATTAATATAATAATATTTTTTTTTTTCTTGTTTATAAAGTTAATTCATGGTTCTCTAAGTTGATTACCTAACACAATTTGTGGATAACTACGAATGACTCCATAAACCGAGTCATCCGATGGCTCCATAGCCAAACCATACCTAACAAATACAATCTCTTTACTTTTGTACAATTAAGGCTCCAGGTTAGCTTTACATATTTGAATATTTTCAATCTAACTTTAAATTTTATTTGTTAAAAAATAATTTAAATTAAGAAACTTATTCGAATTATATCAGGGTCTCATCATTTTTTCTTTCTATTTAAGATTTTTACCCCAAACAAAAACAACTCTAGCTTTAAGTTTTTGTTGGAAAAGAATTACCTTCTCCATTGTTTTATACACAAAACCTATAAAAAAATGATTATTTAATTATAAATTTGTAAGTTAAACTTATAGTTTGAGAAAAAAATATATTATTAATTAAAGGATAAAGTCTTATTTCCTATGATTAATTTACTATTTTGGAGTGAAGGGCATTTTTTCTAATCCAAAAATTTTCAAGAAATACATTTAAATTGCACGTTTTGTTTTTCCTTTAACATTCACAAGTCATGAAGTGAAGGGCATTTTTATAATCCAAAATTTTTTCAAGAAATACATTTAAATTAAAACAAGTATGTTCTCTTCATATTCCCGTATTCTCTATATTTTTAAACAAATATATTTTTAAACAAATATTTTATTTATGGGGACAATACTCTATGAATCTTCGAAGACAGGAAGAAGGATTGCTCTTTGAATTAAACACGCGAGTTTTGTGAAAGAAGAAGGATTGCTCTTTGAATTAAACACGCGAGTTTTGTGAAGAAATACAAATTGACCAAAGGTGATACGGTCACTTTCCACAAGGTTTACATGGGGTTTGAGTATGCTCCAAAGGCTTAAGACTTTCTTTGTTCCTATTTACTTATGATGATATTAGTATTTAGATTGGACATTTATTAACATAAATTTTACTTAATAAATTTTCATTAGTAATTGTAATTATTAATCTATATATGTATATCTATTCACACACACATATATATATATATATATATACTAATTTAAAAGATTAATTTAATCATGGTCATATGGTTGATTGTTCAAACTTAGTGTAGAAAATGAAACAAAAAAATTCTAGAAAGATTTTACTACTTACATGTACTTATATTTTTTAATTTCAATACATATAAATTTAAAATATAGGAATTATATTTTCTTATATTTTAATTAAATAATTAGCTAATCTTATAAATTTATAAGATTGAACTATATGAAGTTTATTATTTAATTATTTTACATTTGTAGGGAGCTGATGTGGATGACGAGAAAAAAACTGATAATGACGAGTCGTTCTGTCCAAAAAAGAATCCAATTCCCAATGAAGCGCCACCGCTGAAGTACTATTCTAAGAGAAAATTGTTCGATGACTTGAGCTTACCAACAATAAATAATGCTAAGAATTAAGACAAAGAAAAATATGCTCAAAGAGAGAAAGATATTGAAGAAGATGAAGAGAGGATTGATAATATTAATTTGTGATAATGAAAACAACTCTAAGACATAGGACACTGTATATAAAGTATCAAAAGACCTTGGTTAAAGTCTTTTCACCTTTGGACCAGTCAGAGCCATATTTCAATTTGCGAAGGTCTTAGAGGAACTTTTTCCTGGACATAATTTAATTAATTGATAAATTTCATAGCATGAATAGATCTTTCCGGGGATTCAATATTACTAAACTTGCAATTTTCAAAGAGGGGAAAAAAAGAAAAAGATAGAGGCTTTTGAATCGAACGGAGAGAACATGAAAATGGATTTCCAGACGGCTGCACATGCTATTAAGTCGATTATACCGAAGATTCACCGTCTGCCCCTTGTTGAAGATCTAGTTATTCGATTGGAAAGTGATAACTCGTAGTATATTACTTTTCATTTTTTTTTTATATTTTTTCCCTATTATTCCTCTTTTTCATGTGATGTTCATCAGGGGCGGATCCAGAAAAATAAATTGGGGGACGAAATAATTTTCGATAAAGACATATAGTTAACAACAACAAAGATATAAAGTTGCAATTTTGAATTAAAAAAATATTGTGCAAAAAAGAATACATACCTTTCAAACTCGCTACAACTAGAATTGTGCTTGACGTTCTCTCAAGTCATGAAACTCATCAATGATTGACTCAGTACTAATATATCTTGCAATTTCTCTTTCGACGAATATAGTCAAAGAATTTAGAAGAAAGTCATCTTCCATTTTACTTCGAAGTCTGGATTTAACAATAGCCATAGCCGAGAATGCACGCTCTATTGTCGCCGTAGACACTGGAAGAGTAAGAATCAACCTTATTAATCTATCAATCAACGGATATACCAAAGACTTTCTACTTCTTGTCATCCATTGGCACAAATTAGAGATAGTATCCAAAGTTTCAAATTCTGAATGCTGGAGGTCATCAATCTCGTAATGTTTCAATTGAACTTGCAGTAAATCTTTTTCATAATCCGTGAAGTCGCTAGGATAAAATTTACCGACAAGGAGGCAAGCATCATCAATATTAAAAGATAACCGAGAATTGCGAGGGTCGAACATAGAGCTAAGAACAAGTAGCTTCACATCATGCTCACTAAACCTGTTGTTTAGCTCTTGCAATTAACAATCTATTGTAACAGTAAAAATATTAATACGGTAATGATCTCCGACTGTAAACAGATTTTGCTTGTTTCAAGACCGTCCTCCTCTTTCCAGATATAAAGCATTAATATCAGGCATATCTATTGCACGACTTTCACAAAAAGACTTTACCTTGGCTAAGAGATTGTTATATCCACCATCTCTCATTTTTTGGATAAGACTTGTCGTCCCACCAAGATGCATAGCATTAAGAATATCTTGAGATTTTCATTGTAGAGCTGGACAAAGCTTATCATTTATTTCCATGATTTCCTTCATAAGATGTAAAATGAAGATGAACTAGAAAAACTAAATGAAAAGGTCTTGTTTATGATCAGTTTATCACAATTTGCCCTTTTCCATGTCTTTTTAATGCTGAATTTTGTTAATTGTGCATTTGGTCTTTTTGGTTCTAATAATAATTCAGATTTTGCCTTAGGAAATTGGGATATGCTTGAACTTAGAGGTGAGAATTCATCATAATATATATTTTCGACTAGAAAGAACATGTTTCGGAGATGTGCGTGCGTGCAAGTTTTTCCTTGTAAGTTTCAGGGGTTTAATTTAATTAATATTCATCTTCTGTTACTGCCGGTCAAATTAAAATAAAATATTGCATGCCGATGGATCTTTTCTTGATTATTTGAGCTCGTGGAATGGAAGGAACTAACTCATACGAAAACCGAGAAATGGGAAATGCTAAAAGTGGATTAAAGAATGTCCTAATGAACACGGAAATTTTCAACTTCCTTTTCCCCTTAGTTAAAATCACGTCCTGGTATAGTTGATGTAATAACGCAGGCATGACTAACAGTAACAGGTAACAATTGTCCTGGTATAGTGAAAAGGGGGATTAAAAAGACAAAATTTCCTGGTATAATTCTTGGGCATTTAGACCTCACTACCTAAACAGTAAGAAACTGTGCAGACATACACTTTCAAGTAAAAAGAAAACGTGCAGTTACACTGTCATGTAACATAACTCATCCAACTGAACAGCACAAATACATAAGAAAAGAACAGATATAACATCCTAATACCAAGAAAAGAACAACTGAACAACTACATGCCATTGCGAAGACAATCATAAAAAGTATCTTCGATCATTGATTGATAGTAATAGCAATAGTTGAGTGAGATAGAATTAGACGATTATGAATGAGAAAGTAATTTACCCTAGAACAAAGCCTTCCACTATATATACTCTCCCTCAATCAATCAAAAGACAATGCCTATATATATACCCTCAATCAAATCAAAAGAGTAGCTAGTAGCTAGTAATAATATAATTTAGTTGGAGATGGTGAAGAAGAGGACGGGATCAAATTCACGACATTTGCTGTGGCCGAGGGGAAAAATGTCGAAGCGTTCCCCAGGCAAGATGCTGTTGCTGAGTTCCCCATGCTCTCTATAGCGGGCAACATCACAGTGGTGGAGAGCCATTACAAGTTTAGGTTCCCGGGTTCTTCTCCTTATCCCTGCCGTCAAAGTGCAAAACGTGTACTTTCCCCCCACCTTATTGCCATCGACAAGCCACACAGAAACAGCAGCCGACACGCGGAAATCGGGTGCCCATGGCCCCACCACCAAAGATTCTTCATCTCTCCTCCTCCTCAGATCGTAAATGTGATGGGGCGTCACGCACAGCGTTTCCTCAATCACATGAAAACGGCCGAAGCTCCGCCGCATGTGAATCGAGCGGGCCCCAAAATAGTTGTCCAGCCTCCGCCAGCCCCTAGCAATAGTGTCGAGATTGAGACAGAAGATGGCTCTGTTGCTTTTGCGTGAGGGTCTCCTGTCCATCTGTATGAAGAAAGTAGTGTCATCCACAAAAGCATAATCCATGATGCGGGTCAAGCCATCAAAGCAATCGTCTTGGATTCCCGGGAGCAGAAGCCAGGTGTCAGTTGAGGGATCGTAGAGCTCGAAATCGTTGCATCCGGTCAACCCTGTGTCTCTGTCGAATTTGATGAGTTTTGAGAAGACGAGGATCTTTGTGCCATCGGGTGTGGGGATGGCCTGGTTGAGGCGCTTTGGGTGGCGCATGCAGCTCACGTGGGTGAGGTCGTCGATCCCCAGCTCCACGGTGGGCAGCCCAGAGGCGAGGAGGTGCGGGGACAGGTCAAGCCTGTATGCTGACGTGGAGGGTTCGTCGTCAAACAGATAGAGAGTGGAACCCAGACCACAGAAAGCAAACGTATCATAACTGTCCCAACCGGTTTTGAGGCGGAAGGCAGGCCTGATAGTCATAGTGTTGGGTGACGATGACGATGACGATGACGATGATGATGATTTTGGTGCAATTACAATGTCGTAGCCATTGGATCTTGCATCGCTGAACTCGCTCACGATGCAGATTTGCGGATCTGATAATTTCTTACGCTTGTATTGCGGCGGCTCGTAGTCAATATCGGATTCAGATGAGTAACCCATCATCATCTGATTGTTAGTTCCGACAGCGATTTTAGACTTGGAACAACGGTAGAGCGAGGGCTGAGGCGTTAACTAAGTACTAAAGCTGCTGGAGCGGCTGCCTTTGGTGATTCGGAATCGGAATATCGCTACTTCCCCTAAAATATTCAACAATGAAAAACCCTAAGCGGTGAATTGAATTTGAATTAGAAACATTCTCCACAGCAGGGAGAGTATATACGAAGAAAGAATCGAACATATAATGTATTCCCAAGTGAGTTAGGCCTAGGCCTTAGATATAAAATTTTCTGGATTGATTGAATTTTTGGTTTGGTTAATTTTAAAAAGGGTGTTGCTAAATACCGCATCCTTTTTGCTAAATACCGCACTCCAATTTACATTTTTGCCCTTTTTATAAAAAAATAAAAAAAAATAAAAAAAAAACTTTTTTGGTGAGAACAAATATTTCCTTTTCTTGTTCAATGCGGCTTTTGTAAACATGTTTTTGAACATCTGGCATGAGGTTTACTTATGTGGCCTTCCCACTGCCTTGTGGGACCCATATTCTTTCATACTTTTTTTATGATGTATTACGATTTTTATTCATAGTTTCTTTTACTTAAAATAAATTGTGAATCCTGACTAACCAATTTTCTAGGCTAGCCAAGGTACCCCGCATGATAAAAGAAGTTGCACGAATTTTGACTGATAGTGAAGATCTTCCAGGATTTCTGAGGAACCATGTTGTTGGCTTGCTGAACAGCATTGACAGAAAAATGCTTCATGTGGAGGACATGTGTCTGCAGAAACAAGCCATCCGACGCATAGAAATGCTGATTAATTTGATGGGCTCACATCTTAGCACGTATGTACCGAAAATCATGGTTCTTCTCATGCATTCTATCAATAAGGAATGGCTTCAGGGTGAGGGTCTCTCGGTATTGCATTTTTTCTTAAAGCAATTAGCGATTGTATCTCCATCTAGCACCAAGCATGTTGTTTCTCAAGTTTTTGCGGCTCTTGTCCCATTCCTGGAGAAAGAGACAGAAAAGTCATCTCCCTTTATGATTAAAATTGTTGAGATATTGGAAGAACTTGTGGTTCAGAATAAGGTTGTTCTAAAGCAACATATCCGTGAGTTCCCAACTGTACCCAACGTTCCTGCCCTGACAAGAGTGAACAAGGTCATTCAAGAAGCACGTGGATCCATGACCTTGAAAGATCAATTACATGATGTTGTGGAGGGACTAAATCATGAAAATTTGAACGTAAGATACATGGTTGCATCTGAGCTAAGCAAGCTGCTGAACTTAAAGAGGGAAGAGTTCATGGCTTTGTTCACCAAGGAAGCGGATTCAGTAATGGATGTAGTGAGCTCCTTAATAACATCACTTTTTAAAGGCTGTGCGGAGGAATCAAGGACTTCAGTTGGACAGCGCTTAAAGCTGATATGTGCAGATTGCCTGGGTGCTATTGGTGCTATCGATCCTGCGAAAATCAAGGTTAATCCCAGCACAAGGTTTAAAATTGCATGTTCCGACGATGATTTAATTTTTGAGTTGATACATAAACATCTAGCTAGGGCTTTCAGATCTGCACCTGATACTATTATTCAAGATTCAGCTGCCTTGGCTATTCAGGAGCTACTAAAAATTGCAGGATGTGAGGCGTCACTTGATGAGAATGTTCTGGAACGGACAAAAAACACGAAGGTGGGCAAATTGTCTAATGACTATCCTGCAATGTCTGGTAGGGGGCAGAGGTTGTGGGACAGGTTCTCAAATTATATTAAAGAGATAATAGCCCCTTGCTTAACATCACGTTTCCAACTTCCTAACATGTCTGATTCTGCTGCTTGTGGTCCTATATACCGCCCTTCCATGTCGCTACGAAGATGGATATATTTTTGGATTAAAAAATTAACAGCACATGCCACAGGTTCGCGGTCTGCAATTTTTAATGCTTGTCGAGGTATAGTACGTCATGATATGCATGTAGCCATGTATCTTCTACCGTACCTTGTACTAAATGCTGTGTGTGACGGTACTGAGGATGCACGCAGTGGCATAACAGAGGAAATTTTGTCAGTTCTTAATGCGGCTGCTTCAGATAGTAGCGCACTTGCTGTTCAGGGTAGCAACTCAGGGAAAAGTGAGGTGTGCATTCAAGCTGTATTCACTCTTCTCGATAATCTAGGCCAATGGGTGGATGATGTTAAACAAGAACTCGCCCTTTCCCAGCCACTTCAATCGTGCAACCCTAAGCAGCTAGCCAACAAGTCGAAGGACCAGAATATGAACGTTTCAAAGGATTCAAACCAGGCTCTTGTACAATGCACATACGTGGCAGAACTTCTGGGTGCAATTCCTAAAGTTACTCTTGCTAAGGCCTCATTCAGATGTCAGGCCTATGCCAGGTCTTTATTATACTTTGAGTCTTATGTGCGCACCAAGTCTGGAGCTTTCAATCCTGCTTCTGAAAAGAGCGGTGTCTTTGAGGATGAGGACATATCCTTTTTAATGGAAGTGTATAGTGGATTGGATGAGCCAGATGGATTATCTGGTCTGGCATCTCTTCGTAAATCAAAAAGCTTACAAGATCATATCTTGATTAATAAAAAGGCAGGAAACTGGGCTGAAGTTTTGACTTCTAGCGAGCAGGCTCTCCAGATGGAACCTTTTTCTGTTCAGTGGCACTCTGATGTCCTTAATTGCTTGCTCAACATGTGTCATTTACAGGCCATGGCAACTCATGTAGATGGACTAAATTCTAGGATTCCTCAGTATAGGAAAACATGGTGCACCCAAGGGGTTCAAGCTGCCTGGAGGCTTGGGAGGTGGGACTTGATGGATGAATATTTGACTGGGGCTGATGAAGAAGGTGTACTGTGTAGCAGCTGTGAGAGTAATGCTCTGTTTGATAAGGATGTCGCCAAGATTCTTCAGGCAATGATGAAAAAGGATCAATTTTCTGTTGCTGAGAAAATTGCTTTGTCTAAACAAGCTCTAATTGCTCCCCTTGCTGCTGCTGGGATGGATTCTTATGCACGAGCCTACCCATTTGTAGTAAAGCTTCACTTGCTTCGGGAACTTGAGGATTTTAATTCTCTTCTTAATGGAGAGTCTTTCTTGGGAAAGAGTTTCCAACTGAATGAACCTGAATTCAAAAGAACATTGGAAAACTGGGAAAGCCGGCTCAAACTTACCCAACCATCTCTATGGGCAAGGGAACCTCTCTTGGCCTTCCGGAGTCTTGTTTTTCGCGCCAGTGGTCTTGGCGCTGAACTCGGGAACTGTTGGATACAGTACGCAAAGCTCTGTCGTTCAGCCGGTCATTATGAAACGGCTAATCGAGCAATTTTGGAAGCAAAGGCCTCTGGGGCATGCAATGTTCACATCGAGAAGGCTAAGCTTCTCTGGAGCACAAGAAGGGCGGATGGCGCCATTGCTGAGCTGCAGCAGTCACTTCTCAACATGCCCGTTGAGGTTATCGGCTCTGCTGCTATTTCATCAATGACCAGCTTATACGTGGTTCCTATTAATCCTGCCCCTTTACTCTCTGATATTCAGTCTTTGAATGAGAATCGGGATGTTGCGAAGACCCTTCTCTTGTACTCTAGGTGGATTCATTACACCGGTCAAAAGCAAAAAGAAGATGTGATAAATTTATATTCCAGGGTGAAGGAAATGCAGCCAAAATGGGAAAAAGGATATTTTTATATAGCAAAATATTGTGATGAGGTACTTGTTGATGCTCGAAAACGCCAAGAAGACAGTACGGAGCAATCTGGGAGAGTGATGGTGTCTAATTTATCGCTTGCACCTTCTACGAAAGGGAATTCCGAACGAAGATGGTGGGCTTACCTTCCAGACGTGCTCTTGTTCTATGCAAAAGGGCTTCACAGGGGCCACAAGAATCTTTTCCAAGCACTGCCAAGGTTGTTAACTCTGTGGTTTGACTTCGGGAACGTTTATCACCGAAGTAATATACAGTCCAGTATGAAGAATGTACATACAAAGGTATTAATTTCATGAATTGTTAAATACAAATAATACCTGAAAATTGTGGTGTTCTGAGGATAGAAATATTCCTTGATATTTGTTCCCTACATTGCAAATTGCACCATTGCTTGGGGGTATGTATAAGTATAACTCTGGTACTTGATTACTGTTATCTTGTCCCTTCCCTTTTCTTTTTGGTGGTGGTGGTGGGGGGTGGGGTTGGGGGTTGAGCATTAAGGACCTGGACCAGGAAATATAGTTTCTTAATGATCCCTTTCATGAGTTCAACTGAAGTGCTTACTTTTCTTCTCTTGTTCAGATAATGAGCATCATGAGAGGATGTTTGAAGGATTTGCCGACTTACCAATGGTTGACTGTCTTACCCCAACTGGTCTCGAGGATTTGCCACCAAAATGAAGAAACTGTCCGCTTGGTGAAGCACATAATCACTTCTGTCCTTCAGCAGTATCCTCAACAAGCCCTCTGGACCATGGCAGCTGTCACAAAATCAACCGTCCCTTCAAGAAGGGATGCTGCTGCTGAGATCATACAAGCTGCTAAAAGAGGAGCAAGCCAAGGAGGTCCCAACCCTTTGTTTGTGCAGTTTGCTGCACTAGTGGATCATCTGATTAGGTTATGCTTCCATCCCGGCCAATCAAAGGCTAGAACAATCAATCTTTTGACGGAGTTTAGTTCTCTGAAGAGGATGATGCCGGTGGACATTATAATGCCAACCCAGGAAGCTCTCACTGTGAATCTACCATCATGTGATGTGAAGTTAACAGATTCTGGTACGTCTGATCTATTTTCTCATTTGGATCTGCCAACAATATCAGGAATAGCCGATGAGGCCGAGATTCTTTCATCACTTCAGCGCCCAAAGAAAGTAAGACCGGATATGTTTTGTCTTTGATGCTATTCTTTTCTGTTTTGTGTTTTCTCTCTTGTTCGCCATCTAAGCAAATTCATTGTGGCAAAAAGAATGTGTTCATATTGTGTTGCTGAATTTAGTTTACATATTTTTAACGTCGTTTAATTTTTTCTTTTGGTTCCCTTACTTAGTCGGCTTATTTAATTAGTTACCACAATCTAACTATTGTCTTGAGACTGGAACTCAAATTTTTCATCATTTCAGCTCCTTTTCCCTACAAATGAGACAAGGTAGTTTGGTTTAGGCTACACAATCAAATACTATGAAGGTGATGGCTAAGTGGAACTTCACCGTTGGCTGGTTTCTATGAGTTTCTTTCCAGTGTTCCTAAAATAACGTCTGGTTCCAACTCATATGCATTTGCTGATAATGGCTCATATGTTATGCACAGATCATTCTCATTGGCAGTGATGGATCTGAGCGCCCATTTCTTTGCAAACCAAAGGATGACCTACGAAAAGATGCACGAATGATGGAGTTCAATGCAATGATAAACCGTTTACTTTCAAAAAGCCCTGAAAGTAGACGACGGAAGCTCTATATCCGTACATTTGCGGTGATCCCATTGACAGAAGACTGTGGCATGGTTGAGTGGGTGCCTCATACTCGTGGGCTCCGGCATATTCTCCAGGATATCTATATAAGCTGTGGGAAGTTTGATAGACAGAAAACAAATCCTCAAATTAAGCGGATTTATGATCAATCGTCACATGATAAGATGCCAGAAGAAGAAATGCTGAAGACCAAAATTCTGCCGATGTTCCCTCCAGCTTTCCACAAGTGGTTTCTAAACACATTCTCGGAGCCAGCTATGTGGTTTAGAGCTCGAATTGCCTATGCCCATACTACTGCAGTTTGGTCAATGGTTGGGCACATTGTTGGCCTTGGGGATCGACACGGTGAAAACATCCTTTTCGACTCTACCACGGGAGATTGTGTCCATGTTGATTTTAGTTGCTTGTTTGACAAAGGCCTGCAGTTGGAGAAGCCAGAATTAGTGCCCTTCCGACTGACTCAGGTAAGAAAAGAAAAAGTTGAAATTGAGTAAGAATTATAAGAAAAATCTATTTCCTGATTCAAATATCTTTCAATATATTGATTTGCGGGCATCTTTTCTTCTAAACCAATTTCAAGTATAAAGCCATACTTTATGTATTTTCTTTTTTCTTTTTAGCTTCAATATTCTTAACAAAAATTTTCTTTTTTCTTTCTTTCCTTTTCTTTGCTTTTCCTTCTTTTTTGAAAAAAAAAAATTGGTTTATTTAGAACATGATTGATGGGCTCGGCATAACTGGATACGAAGGCACATATCGAAGGGTTTGCGAGATCACACTTTCAACTCTAAGGGCGAACAAGGAGACACTCATGAGTGTTCTGGAGACCTTTATACATGATCCTCTTGTGGAGTGGACTAAGCACCATAAGTCTAGTGGAGTCGAAGTACAGAATCCACACGCACAGGTTTGAATTTTCGTTCTACGTAAATAGGTTCCATATGCCAAAAAGATGGAAATTTTGGCCCTTCTGTTTTTCTTAAAGAAGAAAATATTTGTATTGAAATTTATTGTGGTTGAATTTTTAGCGAGCCATTAGTAACATGGAAGCACGGTTACAAGGAGTTGTGGTCGGTGTAGGGGCAGCACCATCGTTGCCTCTCGCCGTAGAAGGACAAGCTCTTCGTCTAATAGCAGAGGCTGTTTCACTTAAAAACCTTGGAAAGATGTATATATGGTGGATGCCTTGGTTTTAAAAGTTGGCTGGATTCCAGTATTTTGTTTCCTCTTCTTTTCGGTTCTTGAAGAAGGCTATTAAATGGTGAGTCATGAATTTTATGAATTTATGTATTTACTTATTTATTTATGGCTACGGTGAGTTGATTTACATAATTGGCGACACTAGATTCATCAGACGGTCAACTTTCTAGTGGTGCTGGCCGGCTTTAGGGTATATGATAATCACCTTGTGCATTTTCAGCATTGCCGATATTGTGAGGTTGCTTAGATGACATTGTTGTGGCCTTGCTGTGAGAGGTAACTCCACTTCTATATTATCTTCCAATTTAAATGCTCATTAGTTTCTACACTTTTTACTCATTTCATTGCATTTTGAATCGTCAGGCCAACGTTCAACCCCCAAAATCCTGGTGAAAAACTGATCAGCTGAGATGTTTTGCCACAAGACAAGCCAGATTGCCAGGAGGTAAGGGAATATTAAAGAATAATAAACAGTTGAATGAAGATTTTTTGTCACAAGACTTACCAGATTGCCAGGAGCTAATGGAAAATTAAGGATAAGAAACAGTTTGAGTGATGATAAGAAGCATCATTAGTGCCTCGCGCCAAAAGTTCTTCAGTTTTGCTACTGTTTGGGATAATTTGGGTGTGAATTTTTTTGATTTTTTTTTTTAATAAAAGGGTAATTTAGTATTTTAGGGGTGCGGTACGTAGTAAAATGGGTGCGGTATTTAGCAATTCAGTTTTAAAAAATGTGTCAGTTAATGAGTATATTAAAATAATATTTAAAAGAAAATAGTTAAGGTTGATTTGATGTAAAAGTGTGAAAGATGATGTGAAGTGATAAAGTTGATTTCATGTAAAAGTGTGAAAGATGATATGAAGTGATGATTAGTTAAAATTATGTGATTAGATGAATATTAAATTAAAGTTGATGTGATATGATTTGTTGATATTACTTAATTTATTGATAATATTGATGATAGTAAGATTGAGTTAAAAAAGTGGCTGAGTTAAAAATAGTAGTAAAAATAAGAATATATATATAAAAAAGAGGCAATGATATCTATATCTATACATACTAGTGTATATCCCGTGCGATGCACGGAAGAGTTTATATTTTAAACATTTTTTAGACTTTATTTTAAATATAATTATTTATATTTTTCACATCTCGTCTATTATGAAAATAAAATAAATACAATCAATGAAAAATATATAATATTAAATACTTTTCTTTATACAATATTTTTTATTTAAAAAATATTATTAAACCTTACGGTTTTGATTTGTTTTTTTAAATCAATAATCCAAAATGTATGATTGCTAACGTACAAAAAATAATGGTAATCCAGACTTTAAAGTAAAGCTATTTTTTATTATTTTACAAATAAAAATCTTCCAAATTTTTTTTAATTCCAAAAAAAATTTGACAAGTTTGATAATGAGTTAAATCAAGTTATACAAATGATTAAATAGTTAAAATGTTATATTAATTATATTTTAAGAAATCTGATTATATAAAAATGGGTAAAAAAATATTATACTAATTAATTTGTTAGGATTGTGATTATATGAAAGTTAAAATAAAATAAAATGTAACCAAAAAATTTGTTCGTGGTTTTTTCCTAAATGTATGAATTTAAAAATCTAGTAACCAAATTTACATTATATCACGTAAGGAAAAAAATAAATAATAAATATTTATTAAAGAGATAAATCAATAATATTTATCACTTAGATAATAAATAATAAATGTTTACATGTAAAAAATAAATAATAATATATTTAAAAATATAAGTCAAAATTTCAAATAAAGTAAAAGGAGGGATAACTCATTTTTTAAAAAAAGTTTCTAAATATTTAATATATTGATAGGTATCTCCATAAGAATAATCATACCATTTTAATTTTAAAAAAATTGACAAGTTTGTTAGAGAGATAAATCTGGTTAGACAAATGATTAATTTGTTAAGATATTATATTAGTTGTATCATAAAAAATCGGTTAGATAATGTAGATAAACAAATATAATACTAATTAGTTTGTTAGAAATGTGATAATGAAAACCAAGATAAAATGAAATTTACCCAAAAAAATTGTTTGGAATCTTTTCCTTTAAATGTTTGAATTTACAAATTTAATACCGAAATTCTATTATATCACATAAGGAAAAAATAAATAATAAACGTTTATTAATATATTAAAATATGTAATTTTGAATTTCATATAAAGTAAAAGGTATGCTTATTCAAATTTATTTTTAAAATAAAAGTTATGATAAACATTTATTGATTCTCTTTCAAATATATTAATAAAATAAAAATATAAATCTAAACAAATTTTGAAACATCCAAAAAAATCGGATTGATTGGCATAAAAAAAGGAAGTAAAATCGAATTTGAATGCTAAAATCGGAACACCTTACCAAATTGAATGCTAAAAGATTCGATTTGATTGGTTACCTAATTGCATGGGCTGAAAAAATTCAAAAAAAAAATTTACGAATTGATAAAGCGGGAAAACACTATATTGAAGCGGGAAAACGAAATGATTATTTTCGAATTGTTCAAATAATTTTTCTTCTCTGTATTATATAGTAATAGATATAATAAGAATTACCATTTAACAAAAATAGTAGCAAAAAAATAGGAGAGAATTTAATGCAACCTATAAATAGTAAGTTTTATTTATTTTTTATTTTTATCTTTGAAAAATCATACAACATTTAATGTTGCATTAAATTTTTTGCTTTAATTCATTTTATTATTTAAAAATTCTATCTAAGATCTATTAAGTGTGCATTTTTTATTTTTATTTTATTTTTTCATAGAAACAACGAAGAACATTAAAATCTCAGTCTCTATATTTATAAAATCTCAATTGAAAATGTAATAAAAATTTTAGAACATCGGTCTTTATATTTATGCCTTTCAAAAAAAAATATTGAATGATATTCGTTAAATATCATTTTCCACTAATCATCACAACTTTTTTATTTGAAACGTGTGATAATAAATATGGTAATGTTTATCACTTATTTGTTTACAAATATATTGTTTTTTTCTATACTCAGTTTCAAAAGGTAAAATAATTATCAAATTATCAGTCTCAATAATTGTCCAGTTAAAAAAAAATATATTTAATGATAATATATCATTTGTTAATAGTACACAATTTTGAAAACTCCATTATAAATTGTATGTTGATATCCAAATCATTTTATAAATGCAATCGACTTTGTTAAATCTCCATGAAAATATGGTAAAATAAAATGAGACGATCAACTTTGTATAGAAATAAAAATAAAATCAATAAATCAATATGAAGTTCACAGGAAATTAACATAATGAATAATTTGTATAGTACACGGATCTAAAAAATAATACTCACGTAGATTCTAAAATTCAAACTTATACGTATCATCATGTTCTGGAAATTGAATAACATATTTTCGGCAATATTTTTTTAAATAATTTTAGACATGTTTTATTTATAAAATAGTTTAAAAAAATTTTAGGTGACTTCACACCTTCAATAATGATATATAAAATTTTAAATACTTTACATATGTTATATAATATTTTAGGTGTTTTTAATATTTTAAACATACATTTTTTATGTTATTTTATACAAGATAAATTTATATTGTTTACAACGGAGATACTATAAATTATATCACATATTAACTCCACATCTTAATTACAGTTATTAGTTAATATCTCCACATCTTAATTACAATTATTAGTTAATATTGTTTACCCTCATATTTAATTTATAATTATTAATTAATATTATTTACTGTCATCGTTAATTCATAATTATTATTTAATATTATTTACCCGTGCATCGCACGGGCTACACACTAGTATATATATAATAAGAATAATCATTTACTAAAAATAGTAGTAAAAAATTTTGGACATTTAATGCATATCTTCTTTTGAAAACTTTTTAAATATATGCATTAATTGCTTCTATATACACGTTTTCAAATAAGTCAAATCAAATATGATAAAAAATATTGCTTCCTTAAATAATTTTATCAATATCTGCAATAATTTCTTTTATATCCATTATAATAAATTACAATATTAATTTTCTGTGACTCATGTTGATGATATTTTGGTCAAGATAAATATTACAACATATTTTAAGTTCTAACTATAATATTAATTTTTTTTCACAAATATTCACTTTTTATCCAAAAAGATTTATAGAAAATCGTAACAGGTTAGATAAAATTTTTTCTTCTAATTAGTCAGGCGAAATCAAGTTGGTGAATAATCTTAATTGAATTTTTTCTTAACCTTTATTTTGTTATATATAAAATATAAATTATTTTTCAAATTAATATAAATTTATCATTTAAGAGATAATGACCAGATACATTAAATAGTTTTTACTACTGGTCAAAACATAAAATTGATAGGACACATAATCTAATACACATAATCTGCCCGTTCGTACTATTCGAACTGCCCAATTATGTTAGGACACATAATCTAATACACGTGTAGTTCTTATCTTAATATTATTCCTTCTTATAATTTTGTTTTCCATATTAGACGACCTAACCATACGACCGGATCGACCTCTCATGAGGCAAATCTTCTTCCCAGCTAGGTCATGTACAATGTCTCCTATGTCGATCCTTCGACTATCATACATTCAGGTGGAGTTTGTATCAGGCCCCAACTGCCAAAAAGGACTTCCCGTCGGTTGCTAGGCTACCCGTAAGTCTGCTCGGCGGGTATTTAGCTCGATTCTTATCCGTTCGATCATCTATCCGTTTTATTCGTGACCAGGGGCGGAGCCACCCGAAAGGCTGGGGTGGACTCCAGCCCAGGTCACTTTAAGGAAAAAAAAAATAAAAATTAGTTGGCCCATATACTGCAATTAGCCCAGTTAAGTATTGTAAGTAGCCCAACAAGTTCATTCCAATATCAGTCCAAGAATCCAAGTACAAATATGACTCCAATAAAATTAAAACTCCTCAACAAACTCAACGAACACATACTTCCTCTGAAAATCAACCGAAAGCAGAAGCAACTTTTCGTTCTTTCTGGGCTCGCCGTCTTCCGTCCGTCTACTCGTCAGGAGTCCGTCGGGCGTTGATAACTTACCCAAACAGAAGATCGAACGGAGAAACGGAAGTTTTTTTTCCCCTCAATTTGAGCCGCGAGAAGCCCTTTCTCACCCCGTTAGTCTTCCGTCACTCCAACCCGCTCGTTCGACATCCGCCCAAACAACTTTCGGTAGTCTTCTCTTTCTCTCTTAGGTTTGCCTAATTTTTTTTATTTTATTTTTTTATAAAAGTTTTCATTTCCTGATATAATTAATTAGGGTTTGCTTGTGATCAAAATAAATAACACATTTAACTTGTGATGAAGATGAAAAAGAAACAGAGAATGTCCTTTTGGAACATATTTTTTCTGCTTTTTATTTCATTTTCTTTGTTCCGTATTTTCGAATAGCAAGGAAAGAAAACAAATGATGTGTAAGCTGGATACAACCAATACTCGATAATGACACATTAATGTTTGTTGAATTGTTGTCCCCAGTATATTACTTGTTTGTTGAATTGTTGTCCCCAGTATATTAGTAATATAAATCTTTTCATTATCAATATCTTGTTAATATCTTAAACAAAAATAGTCCGTGAAATATAATTTATAGTGTGTTTTGCCATGAAAAGGGGAGAAGACGAAAAGTTAAGGGAACAAGCATTTTTATTTGAGAGAGTGGATTGGATTTTGGAAGTATGCTAGATTA